GCCTAAGAGCTGAGAGTCACTGCCCTAGTATGCTAAATGTAATGTTTTGTAGGACTTGCTGCAAGCCCAGACATATTAGACGACGGTTTTCCTAGGTACTGGGTTAAGCGAGTGAAGACATGGTGCTGTTTTGAGTAGATAGTTTGTACCTTTCAGCTCTATAGCTTTATTTAAGAAATAACAAACTGGCATCTTATTCTCAACAGTCTCTGAAGCTTTGGCAGTGAAGCCGTCTGAGAGAAGATCTCTGCCTTCCCATCTCTCATTCCATCATTCCTATCTGTGACCCAATTTGCAGCAGCATCTCTCTGAATGGTGTCATTATAAAACAGTTTATTAAAATAATCGAGGTTAACACGCCAAAAAAGAGATGGGGACCAACTATGTTTAACCTAGACCGTCTCAAAAAGCTGACTTCGAGTGGGACTCCACAATCAGCATAACTGGAGGGAGCAAGGAACTACTTCATGGATGACAGGCAGCAGAAACTTGTGAAGGCATTTTTATTGCTGAGGCAGACTAACTGTGTCACTGGACTCAAAACGGGACTTTGGATCTTTAAAACAAACAAGCGCAAAACCTCACCTCCCTAAAGTTAAGGAAAAATGCAATTTAAATGAAATACATTATTAAATTAGCAGAGTAGCCAACATTGTGGGACAATATAATAGACAGAATCCTGTGTTACTGCCATGTTTGTCCATAGCAGATCCACGAAGGTTACAACTATCAGGTTATAAAGTTAAAACCCATGCTACTGCCTGCACACCCTCTGGTAGCTCAAAACAACATGGCTGAACAACAGCAAAATGTTATTTCTTGCTTAAACTAGAGGTCTGCTGAGGCTATTCTGTATTTGTTCCATGAGTACACATTTTCAACATGATTAGAAAACCAGCATAGTTGCTGTAATCAGCAGATGACTCCTGATAGTTTAGTTATCACAGATTTCTAGGATAAATCAATAGATAACACTTGCAAAATGGATTTTCTAATCATATTTAGAGCTTGTTACAGTGACTAATGGTTTGCAATATTTCCTGAATTTTTATATCCCCTAGACAAAAGAAGTTTTTAATAAGTTACAAAGTTATTCATCTTGGAAATGAATGTGTTATATTTTGTACGTGAACCAAGACAATCAAGCCAATCCAGTAAACACACTGCAGAAAATAAGTTACCCCATAATTAGGGTTTGGAAAAAGTCATGACAAGTTGTGTAATAAATGGTATTCATCACTCCCACATATTCATTATATCCACATAGTTTTTTCCAGTAAAGATAAAAATATAGTTGCCATTCTACTAACATATTTATCTACACCACACCCTTTCATGTTTGTGAAAAATCATTACTGGCCTGGAAAAGAAGGGCAAACAAAAGGATGACAGTGCTTACTTTTGAATATCCTTGGTAATAATGTGGCATATTGCATGTGCTTACTGAAAATACCAATGTAAAATAACTTGGCTGTGATAGATTATGGTTGCAAACAGAGGCCTATGCCAGAAAGTGATCTCCTTCCCTACCCACAGTATGGAAAAATCATTATTTTCCATAATCTCCGTCAAGCTGCTGATCAAAATGTAATGGACAAAGTCTGAAAAGATTATAAGAGATGTAAAACCCCTCTAGTCATTTATGATGAGAGAACTTTTAAAAAACCCCTTACGTTCCCTGTGTTCCCAGAAAGCACATCCTAAACGGGCCCTCAAGTGAATGAACACGACTCATTGGGAGCACTCCCCCCTGACTAGCCTGCACAGTTTTTGTTCGATTATACGCATGTTCAATAAACATTTATTCTGCTGATTATTCAAAGTCTTGTTCGATTAGCACTGAAACAGTTAATTTCCTAGGCTACTTGGTGCCAACTGAAATTGCTGTCACTGGCTTACCTTGTAGAGTTTCAGGGCTGCCTCGTGCCTGTGATTGGTAGTATGTAAACGCAATTTATCCACACTGTTGGTGTAGTAGTCACAAGCGTTACATTTTAGGTGAACTGGGTTGCCAATGGCAATACACTTCAGCCTCCACTCATTAGTTTTGCCCCCTTCTTTAATGTGAGCCACCAGTTGATATTTCTGCATATGTTTGTCAGTCTTGCAGTGGAGCTGGAAGTTCGCTTTGAGCTGAGTGTTGTAGTTACAGAGCTTGCACTGGTAGATGTCTCCAATTACAGCCCTCCACTCCTCTTCAGGGAGCGAGCGTTCACTGCTCACATGCACACTTAGGGCCTCCAGGCTGTCAGAGGTGAATTTGTTGCAAACAGCACACTGGAATAGCTTCAGCGCTGGGTCACTGATATAAGGTGACAGCTCTCCTGCAGTAAGGAGGGACAGGTCATCACCCATTAGCTGACCACTGGCAAGCCGGATTTCAGGCGGCAGCTCATTATTTACTACGGGGAAGAAAAAAAATTAAAAGGGAAAGTAGAGACCAGCAAGCATAGCACACACAAAGGAATCCGTAAAATAAAGCCTTGACAAGGAGTTTGCTTTCTCTAGAGCTTAAACTATAAAAAGCTGTAATAGGATTGAATCAGGATCAATTACAATCATCCCTTTCAACTTCTAAATTCCCTCATCAGATAGCTTTAATTACTCCTACTGGGCATGATGTCATTCTGGAATTTGTATTTTCAAAGGCATGAAAGTTGATCAATAAAATAACAAAACAGCAATGCTTTTGTAACTTAAAAGCCTAGATTAACTTACACAGCACTAATTGTAGTTTTGTTATATCCTTTAAATGATGCTGGAGGTGGGTCAATATATATATATATAATATAGCAATTAGGATAAGCATATCTATACTAATTTAGCTACTTTTGGTACCAGATCTCAGCATTACTAACTTTAAAATACACCCAGTGAGCAACACAGGGACAATTTAGGTACGTCAAAAAGGAAACATTAGAACGGAACTAAGTTCGAGAACTCTTTTTAGTACAAATCTGTACCATTAGGTAACAGATTGACAGTACACTGCTCACACATGAGCATTTGATTCCAATTTGCCCTCCTCTTACACTTGGAATACAGACAATTTGCTAACTATAAAGGGGCACTGTCGGGTGACAAA